CGAAGTGGGTCGAAAAAGGACTGATTTTGATGTTTTAATCGAAAGTTATAATTTTGAACAGTATTTGTGAAGTTTGTCCGTACAAACAAAAGCTTCACACTGATATCTATTATCTAAAAAGAATTGGTTGATTAAGTTTGATAAATAGTGGAATTCTACGAATTTACTTTCGGTCCGGACTTTTGGGACACCTTGTATATATATATTAAAAGTCATATTGAAAATGAAATTGGATAATATATCATCAAGAATAAATTTAGAAAAAATCATTAGTAAATGTTGTCATAATGCATCAATGAAATTATTCTTCATTTCAGGAAAGCATGAGGACTAACAGGTAATCAAATAATAATTTGACGAAATGTTCGTCCATTTTTCAATCTGTTAAAGGGAGCCTGCAGAAAATCGACCGCATCGGTTTTGAATTAGAATATAATGTTGAATTGAAATTGTTTTGACTTATTTCAGAATATTTATTTAATGTACATTCCCAATCTACGTACGAATGAACGAGAGACATAAACTATAGAACTACATAAATTATTGATTATACAATTGGTATTTGATTCTCATCCACACGACGGAATTTTCTATTTTCAGAGAATTGATAGATGATTTCAAATTCTTTTTTTTTTATCAAGAGAGAGTAGTTTATTTTTCATCGAGTTTGAAAGAAAATTTCAAGTTAAATTTCATTAAATATAAAATCTAGTGATATTGAACTCAAATGTGCTTTGATTAATATTCATTTAACTTCTTAAGAATAGATCTTAGAATTTTTATTTTTTTTTTCGTAAGACTTTTCATAGAAATGACATATTCATCCAAAGATAGGAAGGATCACTCGAAAAAAACTGTTCGTTTTTGTTTATGTTTCATTATTTCAATTGAAAATCGATCAAATTCGTTCATCTTTGCCTCATTTCACATGAGAAGATAGAGCAAAATGAGACGAACCTTTTCGTGTCTGAGGAACAATACTTGAAAACTTACTCAAAAAATACTAGTAGTTTTCCAAGTCTTACCCAACTGAAATTGCTGAAAGGATTGTAATTAACTTAATTGGAATAATTTGAATCACGATCTCAAGACTCTCATCATTTTTATAAAACAAACTCTATTGTTCAATGTAAAATAGTCGAACAATTATTGAGATAAATCGACTTTTGTTTTGAATAGCGATCTGCATGATACCAACTGTCTACATTGATTATTCGTTGAAGATATACAATATTGTAAATGATTATTAAAGCATAATGAAAGACATTGTTCAAAAAATCATCTCATTTTATTGTCGTTACCGCTACTCGGCTTTTTCAGGTAAGATCTAACTGTGGTATCTGTTCTCGTCGATTTAAAAATCAACGTTGATTCCATTAGGTTTAGACTCTTTCAAGCGGATTTTTAGATATCAGTTGAGATCATTCTAGTTCATTCAGACTTATGGCATGAATCGTCTCAACATTACAGTGTCATTAAATTTTAGTTCAATCCCGTTTACTTCAGATAATCGGAATTTATCATGTCGATTTGAAACGATTCTCTGGTTTGCTTACTTTGAATATGATGGAATAATTTTCGTTGTTTGATAGAACGGTTTAATACATTATCCTTCGGTAAAATTTGACAGTACAGATCTGTAGAATTAATATCAAGTTACTTTGTAAAAGAGAACGACTACTGAGAAACAATAAAATAACTTCTATTATTCGTTGTCTGTAGATTAAGAAATTAAACTTATTAATATGAATTATGAGCGAGGTTGAATACATGTTAGTTAATTATGTTCGAAATGAATCTTATAAAACAATCAAGTTACTAACGAAATTATAACTTAAACATTGATATGAGAAAAGAACTTACAAAGATCTGCATTGGAACATCTCGTTTTTCATTGAAAACGCGAACAAATGCTTTCGAATCATGTTCCACTACATACTTCTTTTTTTTTGGTACAAAAAAAAACGTGTTTTTACCACAAAAGTCTCTTATATTCATCTATCTATATAAATTATTTTAATATATTTGCAGCATTTTATCATACATGTTCTAATCATTTTTTTAGTGGAAATTCTTAAGTTTTCATGGAAAATGTTAAAAATCATTTGAGTATGTCCACTGTATTTCTCATTTGTTGCAATATCTTTAGACTTACAGAAAAGAAGTTAGTTAGAAAAAGAAAACTTTCATTCACTATAGAATCTTAATAATTATTGCTTATGTTTAATGTAAAATAATTCTGTTATAATTTGTGTAATTGAAGCAATAAATAACTATTTTCATGGTTCTTTCTTCAGATTGAACGATCAAAAATGATTTATCGATTTGTTTTATGTTACGTATAGTCCGATTATTAATAAATAATATTTAACACCTTTTCCATTTTCTGAAAAACGAAAGATATAAATTATTGATTTTTATTTAAGTGAAATCAAAATAAGATTGAATTTATAATGAAAGGAAATAATGATGAACACCTTCAGACAGAATTATTGAGTCTTCAACAATTAATCGTTTCACTTTGGTTCAATTTTGTTCTGTTCTATTTCTTGTTAAGCTTTTTATTACACTTTTTAATTGACCATATAAATCTTTCAATTTAGTTAAACATAATAAATGTGTTTTAAATTCATTCAAAAATATAAATTAAGTAAAATAAGATAAGAATATTCAACAACCGAATATGAATAGTTATCAATGAATGGATATTTGTAAGATCTTCAAAGTTGTGATCGAATATTCATAATAGATAATGATTTAAGTGATGAAAAAGCTTGAGTAATTAGAATGAAAAATTCATGTTTAAATGGAAGTTTATCGTGCAATTCCAAATGAATTACAAATCTGAATATTAATGGATGAAAGATTGTTCGTAATCTATTTGAGACGATCAAATATAAATGGAAGTGAGAAAACATGGCACACGATCTTAAAAGTATCGAAATAGTCTAGAACACAAGCCGCCTGGTAAAGATCTGTGCTTACAGAAGTTCTTTGAATATCATAATTAGATATGCAATGAGTTGCATCATCACCGATGTCATTCTTTGTACTAATATAAAAATAAAATGTATAAAAACGTTATGTAATAAGTAACAAAAATCATTAAATTTATAAAAGTTCCTTTTTCATTTTCTTCTTTCAATTATCTGTTATATATTACTAATCAAAGAGAACAGTCGATAATTTTTTTTTGTCTTCTTCTTTCGTTCAGTCATCATTCGTATAATATGATATTGAGTGCACGACATCTCATTTGTTCTTACACATTCCAGATGAAAAGAAAAATAAATTGAACATAACATGTGTAAAGACGACATAGATATCGTGCACTCAATATCAAAGCATGAGTCAAAACAACCGGTTGTTATCATACGCTGCACGTATTAAAATTCGGTCAACGTCGTCTTTGTTCGCGTTTCTCTATTTCTTCTCGTTCTTCGTAACAGAAGAACTAAAAATTTAAAACTAACGGAGCTTTTGAGGGTGGCTCTGAAACAAAATGAACCTTGCCAGGGATATCCGACGTTTTGTTGGTAACCTGTACAGGCGTGTAGATGGTAGGCCTTCATAACATACATCGATGTATGTATGACTAGAAGCATCCAACTCGTCACCGTTTTTCCGAAGATGATGATCATGGATGTACTAGTGATGCATACATAAATGTATGTTTGCCACATCATTGTCGGCTTTGTCCACTGTACAACCCAATAGAATACGAAGGGTATCCCTGGTCGCGCGTGCGTGAAATTATTACAGCTGGTGCGCTTCGGCGAGCCAAACGTGTTCAAGAAGGTCAATTTATTTTCTTGTTTAAAAACAAAACAATTACATTTTCTTTTTTACATCTTCAATGTTTCTTTTCGACTGTGCAATATCCGGATGGTTTGGTGGCAGTGATTTTTGTCGTATCGCGAGTCCTTTTTGGAGAAATGAAAGTGCTTTCGAGTACTCGCCCATGTTATCATACACCACACCGATGTTGTTGTAGGAAGTAGCCAAGTCGGGATGATTCGGAGGGAGAGCTATTTTTCGGATTTCAAGTGATCGTTCGTACGATGAAAGTGCTTTCGAGTACTCGCCCATGTTATAATTCACTGCACTGATGTTGTTGTAGGAAGTAGCCAAGTCGGGATGATTAGGAGGGAGAGCTATTTTTCGGATTTCAAGTGATCGTTCGTGCGATGAAAGTGCTTTCGAGTACTCGCCCATTTCATCATACACATTACCGATGTTGTTGTAGGAAGAAGCCAAGCCGGGATGATTTGGAGGGAGAATTTTCTTGTAGATGTCCAGTGATTTTTCGTAATATGAAAGTGCTTGTGAATAGTCACCCATACTATCATATATCCAGCCAAGTTGATGATTGTATGCCGCCTTATCTCGATCGGAAGTTGCCTTTGCGAGGAGAATCTGGTAGAGTTGTTCTGATTTTGGGTATTCACCCACTTTTAAAAGTATCAAACCCAGTCGACCCCATCCTGTGTACTTCTTGAACTCTTCTCGTAGATGTGCTGTGAGTTTGTTAAAGTCATCATCTTGATTACCCACAAGAGTAAGATTAACTTGCCATAAGCGATCAGTATTTTTGTCTTCAATTCGTTCAATGTGATCGATTCGGAAAATTGTATGTGTCGCAAAAAGTATTTCTTCTTCTCGATTTTTGTAGTAGCCAACTTGGCTTACTTCAGCAAATGGTGTTAATGAATTTTTGCAAATAGTCGTGTCAATGTTCATAATGAATAGAATGCCAACCGAATTGGGTTTCTTTGTTGCTGGTCGTGCAAACCTTTCCAGTGAAATATTGTGATTGCGACTTGTTGATAGAAAATTATTGAAGGACATAAGTCCTCCTTTAGTTTTTTTCATTTTTTCAAAATCTTCCAAGGACAAACCTTGTCCC